TATCACTGGCACACACTACTGGTGCGGTCCTGGACTGGCAGTGCCTCCCAACCCACTTTGAAGTCTCATGTTATGCACCTGTGACTACGGGTAGTCCACTGTTGAGCTTTCGAGCCGTCGATTTCTTTGAGAAGCTTTGATTCCTTTGCCCAGAAAGCAACCGTGCAGAACGCGTACAGACGCGCCAGCCGATAGTCTTCTCGCTCTTGCTCTAATCCACTCTCAACGGATGGGCACCTTCACTAAGCATCTTCTTGACGGAAGTATTGCCCAAGAGCAGTACTTGACGCGATGAGTGTTGCTCGTCTCTGTCTCCCACACCTATTCAAACTCGTGTACTTCAGAACCAATTTTTCGCCATACCAGTCGGGAAATAATGCTCACGTGGGAGTATGCGGCCGTGTAATAAATAGAAGAATTATCCAATGCAACATCAGGCAAGAGGTTCATCATCTGTAAGACTTGGATATCGTTCAACGGCATCAAGATTTCGACTTTTAGATTCGATTTTCCAACTTGGGGGTCCCAAGTACTCGCTGATTAGACCGAAGCCACTCATGAGACTCTCATGATGAGAGAGAGCAGAAATGTTATAACTTAGGACTGAACCTACGCCGATCGGTTTACGGCTGTGGTATCTCACCGCACGAGCATCCTTGCCACATATAAAGCGCGTGACTCTACCCTATGCCTGTGACCGTGGATAAGTAGATCCTCAACCACTCCCCTGTACTTGTTGACTATACCAGAGACACTCGTGATGGAAAGTAGGAATATCCTATGCAATGTAACGGTGATGAGATACACTATCATCCAACGTATAGTGGATGCCAAAGTGTACTCGGAGATCAAAGATCGACAACAATAGAATCTTTTGAGCCAGGGTTTGAGCTAGAATTCCTGGTATCGACTGAATCAGCTGTTCGACTCAGCACGCATGAACATGCCCATAGTAGTACACCCACAGACAGCCATGCACTACAAATACAGAGAGATGCCCTATAACCAATTCGATCATTCCAGAGTCCCATCAGAATAGGACTGGGGAAATCACCTAGTATATGGCAGACACCAAATGAAGCCGCTAGAGCTTGGGATCGCAGATGGGTTGGTACCGCCTCCATGATGGCCACGTTAGATTGCGCAGTGGTAGCCGAGAGGAAGTACTGCGCAAAGAACATGAGAACGAAAAATAGACTAATATAGGGGCTCCATGCAGCTGAGATGGCAAAAGGTATCGAGATCGTGATGAAGATAAAGCAAATAACGCACGCCACATGTAGACGTGTTTTCCGACCATTATAAAATCTGCACATTAAATCTAGCAGATAACCGCCTGAAAAAGTACCCAGTAGGCCAGTGCTAACAGTGAGAGCACCGAACCCTATGCTGGCCACCTTATGAGATGTACTGAATATAACTCGAATAGCAGCAGGACTCCAGTAGGAAAGGCCACCAACAATGAAGGCGAATGTCGAGTAACCGAGGACTAGAGTCACGTACGTCATGTTGCTCGCCAACACACAGAACTGCTTCAAGTGATTGCCCTCACGCTGAGCAGTGCTCCGAGACGGCACGCTGAAACGATCCTGCCAAGTGATTGTTAGGCCTATGAAGACGACCATGATCAGAGCCTCGCCCAAAAATGCATATTGGCCTGTCTCCCACGAGTGGAAGAAACCAGAGCCAACGTAGCCAAGGGCCTGGCCAACGGTGAAAGACATGAAAAAAATCCCGAGAAAAGTAGACCCCTTTCCAATGGGTGCTACATCGTCGATAATTGGCGGGGTTAACGCAGCGAAGGCAGCCTCACCAACTCCGGTAAGTGTTCGACAGGCAAGGATGGAAAAGAATGAGCTTGGTAACGTCGCAATTAGGATATTCGACACAACCCAGAAAAGGAGGCCGATGCAGATCGATCGAATGGTCCACTTCCCTGATACTTGTCCGAGGAGCGCGAACAAAGGTGCAGCCAATACGTAGCCCAAAATAAACATGCCGCCGATTAAACCGAGTTGAAAATCGGTGAGGCCGAGGGAGTCCTTAAGGTGGAGATTTGAACCCGCAATGAAACCTCTATCAAAGAATATTAGAGCGAAACATGAAGTGAAGAAGACCAGATGGACCCAGGGGCCTAGCAGGCGACGGGACGAGGTTTCTGATGAGCCCATACAGTCGTCGTGTAGATCGACAAGAAAATGACCACCTGAATGACCACCATCTCACATGTCTATCTCGCCTGTTCGAATCAGACCTATCACGTGGACCCCCAGACTAGCTTAATTACTGAACGATCATAACTGA